GGAACAATGTTTTCTAATAAAACAATGGAATTACCCCATCCACTTATATGCCAGCTTTCTCCACAAAAATATCCCTAAACAAACAAATAGCTTACTTTATTAAAAAACATGTATAAAGATTTGTCACCAAGTTTGTTTTGGCGCAAATGATGGTCTTATGATTTGAAACCAAGTTCTAGGATTTTGTACTCCTTTTCTTTAGTCCTTTCTTAACCTTCTTTTTAAATTCATTTAAATTTATATCATTTTTCTGTTCTTTGCTTTCTTTAGGTTTTTCTTCTGGTGGTATAAAGGCCTGTGCCCTGCGCTCCTGCCTCTTCTTCTCAGCCTCTTCGTGCTTGATATCTTGTTCCCTCTTCCTCTTAGCCCTCTTTTGTTCCTCCTTCAGGAAGTATTCACCTGATGCTATCATTTTGTCTATCTTACTCTCCTGCTGCGGTGGTGGGAACGGAGTATATGGTTTCTTCTCCTTCTTCTTCCTAGGTTGTTTCCGTTTGCTGATGTTCTTGCTGTTAAATTTGGGAAGGAACCTCTCCCAATTTTCATTCTTCAATTTTGGATCCTTTGCCAGCTCTCTCTTGATCATTAATGCTTTAACATTATAAATTGGATGTATGTTCTTCATAGTATCTTCAACTATACGTCTAACTTGTTGAAGTCCTTTATAAGGACCCAATGCAGCCACTGTTTGTCCTTGCACAAGTACATAACAATTTGTAAGCAGTTCTATAGACTTCAAGGTACATCCATTGGGACCAATGAGCCGCTGACGCCGTTTGACAAACTTTTCCTTATTTCTAACTAATGAAGATATTTTTATAATATCTGAACCAATGTCATCTTGCAGTACTCTGGTAGCTTGTTCGAATGGAACTGATCGAGACAGGAGCTTAATCATATCGCGTGCTTTGACGATAATATAAGGATCCCATGTTTTCCTTGTGGTTTTCACTGTCATGCTACCTTCAATGAGATCCAATTCTGCTTTGACAGCATACTCGTCTAAAGCTTTCTGAATCAGTGGCCAGTGTTCTTTTAGATATTGTTCTCTATATTTCGGGAATAAGGTCGCGAACGAACTTTCTTCCAACAGACGATGGGGATTGTCCTTGGGCTCGAAGGCTGGGATTTTCATCGACCACGCATTATCCACGGGTCCAGTTTTCTTTGGCCCGTCTTCTTTATCAGAATCACTCATCTTTCACGCTTGATCTCTTTACTCTTCGATCATTACACTTAATACTTAAGTCACGAAAGACACGTGTAGAGAAATGTTTGTTAGGTTATGCTCACGTCGCGAAAGTGGAATTACTGTACCTTGATTCGATGGTAGCGTTGTTCGTCAGTGTTTGCAGTTAAACTTTCACAAACTGTTTCACGTGGTAATTGCACGTGGATCATTAAGAGTTTTAAGTTCAAATGTATGTTACATTATTGATTATTACACACAACGAACGAAGTAGAGTACAGCTTACCATAGAGTACAGTGGTACACGAATCGAGAACTCTGGAGCCATCTAACGTTATCGTATCAAGCTAGATCTTATCGACGTGAATGGAATAAGATTGAAGCACCGTTAGTATTAAAAAAAGGAATTAATAAGAGCGACAGTTTTTGAATTCAAAAAATGCACAATGCACAATGAAATATTTTCTCAGGTTCTTTTAATACGTAAAGAAACTCCTAAAGCTAATAATATTAATGAAGTACAAAATATTTCCTCAGATTTTAAGCTCAAAAATATTTAACAGATTATAATTGATTATATATTAATAATAAAATCGAATTATAAAATGCAAATATGGAAACATGTGTCTCATGTAACATAGGAAAGCTACAAGGCATCCAGATACATATTTTACAGGTGTACACATATTAATATGAGCGTGGTATACATTGTTGCTACGTATAAATAATTTTCGTAACACAATTTCGTTGGACATTTACACATAGAGAATGCAATCTCGGAATAACTAGCGTTATTTAAAATGCATTTATGAAACACGTAAAATAAATTTAATTTAAAATTCACGACAATATCATCATGAATAAAAGAAATGGTTATCGTTTCAGTAGAACATTCCATGTTCGCGTGCTCTAATTTTTTCAGATTAGTTTTTTATCATCTTGTCAATGTAATAGACAGTAACTCAAGATACATATTTATTCATAGGCATTGTCATGCGCGTATGTTTGCATAACATTTGCACCAAACGGCGTATATAAATGGTCCCCAGAATTCGTTTGAAAGGATTCGATTTGTAAAAGTAAACACCATGCGTTGCTACATTGTGCTGCTGACGCTCTCTCTTCTGGCGTGTACGTACGCTCAGGACCGTTATTCAGATAGATATGATAACATCGACATATTGAGCATTCTGGGGAACGAGCAACAGCGAAATGAATACTACAACTGCTTGATGGGAATGGGACCTTGTGTGACCGAAGCACAGAATTACTTTAAAGGTATGTTTGATACTAAATGTCTGATATGAATATTGCGTATATAAAATAAAAGTGCAATAACAGTTTCAACAAAACCTTTGTCAATTTTCATAAAAATATGTCAATATGTCAAAATATAAACGCCCCTGTAATGCTTTGGAATTTCTCTGCCAAAATAATAACAATGACTCCTATACTCAACGTTTTGTAACTTTTACTACTTATTAATGTGACTTCCATTTTTTGTTCAGGAATTTTTCCCGAAATGATCACAACGAATTGCAGAAAATGCACCCCCAGGCAGAATGTATACCTCTTTATGGTTCAAAACTGGTATCAGAGAAATCAACCGGAAAGATGGACCGCTTTGGTAAATAGAATGAACTCCATCCAACAACAGAGCCAGCCGTCAGGCACATAAACAATAAACTCTGACAATACTTACGTTTTAATGGATGTAAACCATCATAGCATCAACATCAGGCATTACTTGCCAATTTTTATAAAATTGGCTAGCACACTGATCATCCATCTCCATATGCGATGACAAAAGTTCTCTTCATTCTATCTAAAAATTGATTGCCATTAGATCTAATCGTTACTTTCACAGATTTTCTGATGCATATTTGTTATTCGTAAAACATCTAAGATATGTAAATAAATCTTAACAGAAATTAAATTTTATATAAAGACTTTAAATAAAGTTTAGTGTCATATTCTCTGACGAGGATGAAAGTAAATCTTGTCTTCTTTCATTTTCAATTATGTTGTATCCATCATTATTATTTTCCACGTTTCCTTTCCTCATTTTCAGTTAATTAAGAATCTTGTCTTTTCAATAACAAAATAAGCTTGCCAACGTGGTCGTGATGAACCTAAACGTCGTCTTTCACGTTTATCCAGTTCCAAGGAATTGGTATTTGCTTTCTTACCTCATTATTCCTAATGAAACTACAATTTAAACATTTTTAAAAGGGCAATACAAGACATGAGTATTTTGTCGATATAGAACAATACTTACCGATGATTCCAGAACGGCTCGAGACAGGGCACCGAATAATCGACACGGGGGTATCTATGACGCAGTTTATTATACAATTACAATATTCTTACTAATCATATTTGTGGTAATGATCGTAGTAATAGTGTATCCTAGATAACATGAACTATTCCAGATTGATATGACTTTATTTATACACCGCCACATGCACACACGCGCGCACGCAATCCCTCTCACTCGCTCCCTCGCGCTCCAGCTTCCGGTTCGATACCCAAACGAAGGATCGACGCCGAACATCGAGGGGTGGACGTCAGAAATCGTCGCAATTAATTATTCCTAATCGTAACACCGTGAAATCGGTTCATCGGCCGCTGATGAACCCTTAAAAAGATCGCGGTTTTCCCGAAATCTCTAATTCTTGGTACAAAATAATTTAGACGACTTTGTCATAGAACGAGGTCATCCCCCCTCGTCGTAGCGACTCTCTTATCAATAATTATTCATCGTTTACTCTTTTAAGAACTGTCATACCGTGCTCTCATTTTTCGCCCCCCACTTTCTCTTCTGCTAATCACCGTCTTCGTACTTTTTTTTTTTTATAATAGTTTATCGTTAATGGTATTCCATTCTTAATGTAGTTAAACGTTATTCCTACGCGTCGAATCGAACGACGTCCGTTGTTATTTACCAGTTACACATCGAATCGTTAGTAGGCTCCTATAGTAACGCTAGACTCCTCTCAGAAGACAATTATACGTTTCTACTGATTGATTAGTCGACTAAACTCGGTACACCCAGTTGGGTTTCGCTTGCGCTCTCGTCGCCATCTTTAAATGTGGCCGTTGGGCATCTTCTTGTGACAGGGTTTCTGCGTCATTCGCAGACGTATTTACAGAAAGAACGCGATCGGGACGGTAGGAGCATAATATCGCGTGTTTCGGCATCGCGAGGAATGGCTGGTGGAAAAATTAAAACAAGGAAACGTTAACTATTGAATGTTCGAAGAATTTGGTTAACACGTTCGACGCAGTACAGGAGTGAAAGTTTGCAACAGAAGTTCAAAAATTCGTGTAATTGATCTGCATTGCTCTTGTAACCGTCTAATCAATGACTTTTTATATTTCATTCTTACATGATTTTCAAGCCATTTGATTGGTACCTTGTCATTGCATAAAGTAACAATTTCGTTTCAATATTTATACCAAGCATAAAGGAAATGATATGCAATGTCTACAGAATATAACAAAATCGCAGTATTTCAACTTTCTGGTGGCGTCACTGTTATAATCAATCCTGAAAATGTTTATTACAAAAGGAATGATAAAGTAATTGCTCCCCAATTCAGGTTCTAGGTAAACGTGTGCATTAATTAATGAAATTTTACCGTTTAAAAGGATACAGTTGGCTAGGCTTCACCCTAACAACTTGAAGATTAAACATGTATATCAATAATTCATAATCCAAAATATTCGATACATTCAAGAAATGAAGCATTCAAAAAGGGAAACAAAGGATCATCGGTGCACGAAAAAAAATCAAATGAACCAAAATGACTAAAGTCTGTCTAGCACTTTTATTTTTAATTAATAAAAGTTAAAATATAATGAAATAATAATAATATAATAATAATTAATAATAATAATAATTAATAATAATAATAATAATAATAATAATAATAATAATAATCACTGTAATTAATGTGTCTATTCGCACGCGGAATGCGCCGGCTCGTCGAGGCTCGCAAGAAAAAAAAATGAACCAATGACACGTCGATCAGAGGGAGGGGGTTAGGGGGCGAGTTATCGATTCTAATTTTTCTCATTTTATCTACAACGTTACACACCTCCGACGAACGAGAAGAAAACAAAAAAAAAGAAAAACGAAATGAAAGGGAAGATTAGGAAAACGCAGAATTGTCCCTTTATCGCTATCACTCACTCTCGCTTCGTTTTCAAATCATGTTCTCCGCTCTAACGATTTCTCTCGCATCTATCGTCTCCCACCCGTTCACCATTAAGTTTATAAAACGTCTAACGCACTCGAAACGGGTGCTCTAGGAACTCTTTCTTGTATATCGTATTTCTTTTCGTCGTCAAATTTCTCTCTCGCGTTTTCTCTCACTCTCTCACTTGATCACATTCGCACTTTTGTTTCACTACAGCTTGGTCCACGACTCTGGAAGTTAATGGTTAGAAATCAAACGATGTACGTTGCATGAGAGGACGATGGACTGGATTCAGTTGGCGGCAGTAGGATCGGGAAACTCGAGGGAGAGGGGATGATAACGCTTGTGGGTGATTAAGAACGAAAGGACGCGCGTGATCGATACGAGATCTCGTCTCGTACGCGTTTACATACATACATACATACATACATACATACATGTATTATATTATATATAATCGCGCGAGCAGAATATATTAAAATATCGCAAAATATATTGTAATATATCATGTCGCGTCGACGTCACTCCCGTAGAAAATTACATATAATATAATATCAATAATATATATATATATATACATACATACGTTGGCAGATGTGCATACACTTGTGATTAACGTTCGACGCCATATATATGTGTATATACAATTTAAAAAACGAATTTCGCAACAAATATACACGGCTGAGATGCGCTGACGTTGTCGATAACGAGATCGAAGGGCTGGAAAGCCAAATGGAGCATTTTTACACATTATAAAAAAATAGATTATGAGCGAAATTAGCATGGAAGAATTGAATAATAATAATAATAAACTATTATTTAATGTACATGTAAGTTTCGACTGTTTCTATTTTAATCATATTCAAAACTTATGAATGTTACCATCAAACCTACTAAATAAACATGTAAGAAAAGAATTTGCGAAATTATTACACAAAAGGATGTAACTATCTCTTGTAATATATTTCTCATGATACCTTTAGTAAATTCTTTTTTATGTATTAATTCAAAAAATTTAATTGTAGCTTTTATCATCCTGCAGTTCGTCCATAAACATTCTCAAATATTAAAAATCCCTTTTGTTTTCAATAATACATTTTTGTTTGGATAAATACAATTGTGAAATAAATATATATCTACTAGCTTGTTTGAAATTTCAAAATTATCATCCTTTACTGTGAATATTAGTAAAAATTTAGCTGTCTTTGAGTCTCAAAATGAACAAGCGATTATTCGTTCGGCATCCCCAACCCTTCGACTTCCATATCTCGACACGTCTGCAACGCTCACTGATTCCTACGATTAAGAGTACTTAATAATAACTGACGTCATAATAAGAAACGAATCGCTACGATGAATAAATCCGCCGCGGTTTCCGCTAATCGCCGCTCCCTATCGATTCTCCCATATTATTTACACCGCGTTTACTTTATACATTTATGTATAGTATGTATATTTATACATGCATATGTATAACCCGACGCACGTGCTCACATTTCGCGCTTCTTCTTCCGTGTACGCGCATACGCACATGTATATATATAATATAATATATTTATAGGTATATCCACGACTTAGCATACGGCGATTACGATATAATTTTTATGTGTACGGCCCTTAGTGAACGTCTCTTCTCTGTCACTCGACGTTTCTCGTCCAAAAATCATAGCCCTAATCATAATTAGTCACCGGGTGTTCACCAACCTCGAGGCAGTCGATTTTTGCGCGCCGGAACGAGAGTTCTCACCTCGAGCGCGCGTCTTCGGCCTCTCGATATCAAAAATTCACAATGGGAAACGAATGTGTCATTAAAAAATAGCGGGGAGGGCGCGAACTCTCGAATCACGAGCGCGTTCAATCGACTCGAGTAAACGTATACGCGCCTATATGTATGTATAATTATTTGGGTGTAGCGGGTGTACACTGGGTGAACAGTGAAACTTGATCGAATTTTTTCTTGATAATCGGAATCAAAGTGACTCTCAAGCTTCTAAAGTCAACTTGATTTTCTAACAATGCACAGCGACTACAATAGAATTGGAACTCTGTTCTAACAATGTTTCTGTAACATTCGAGGTAATGAATCGAAAATGTTAGTTTTGGAATGGATATACCTTCATACTTTTTCTCTCAGAATTAATTTCTCTGTCACAAAAAAAGATAGCCACCCGTAAAAGACAGAAGAAGTTGACCTTGAAAACTTGAAGAAGATAAACTTACAAAAAATGTACTATACATAGTTTCTAAGTCTCGCTAAACCGAAGTTTCAGAAATAGGAGTGATTTGATTATTTCCAATAGTTGCAGAAATGATTAAGATGATAAAATTCTGTTCACCCGGTACGTACCATAGGCATATGCACATACAGGTATCTACAAGACCCTCGTGTCGGACCAATGACATCCGCCAAGAATACGAACGCTAACTCGTTCACCTAAACGAAATCACTTCTGAACACTATGAGCGTGACTATGCGACTCAACCACGCATTGAAATCACCCGAACATCGTATCACTATTGCATTCGCGATTTTACTTCGCGAAAACTACCCACGCTATTAATCTGAAAATTTGCACCTGCGATTCAAGGTGTTCCACAAGTATACGTCGAAATTTTGAGTGATCTAACTTAAAAATTGACAGAGATAAAATTGTTGGAAGTTTATTGTTACCGAGTTAGCATGTTAGTCGCACAGCGTTAGACTCGTAATGTTTACGGTCTAAGTTTTGTTCATTTCTTTTGTATTAACGTTTCTAGGTGACGATACTTTTATTTGGAACCGATAAATGTGACTGAGAATTTTTGGGAAGATCGCGATTTTGATTTGGTGCCTAGAAAAAACTCAGCTGTGTATTCCTCTGCTATGTTGAGTTTTAATTGCTCGTAGAATCATTTCTTATATTAAACAAAGAGTGTGGATCAATTGTTTATTTTTTAATTCACTAAGATTCTCAGACCTTCGAACGTCAAGCGATCATGGATTAGGAAGAACGAGTCAACCGTCGCATTCTTGTAAATTTCACCAAATTTACGCTCGTACAATTTAAATATATACAGACTCGGGGCACGGATATGTATGACGCTGCGACAGACACGCAAACGTATGCGTAATTATGTACAAAACGTATTGTCGGACCTCGCCGCATTTTTTCACCACCGACGAGGCAGCGTTGCTTGTGTTTTGAAAATCGAAAGCTCGTCCGCAACATTCAATCTCGAAAAGAAAACTGGATGATTCGATAATCCCAAGAGTCTCTGGCAAAATGGAACCGTCAATTTCCACCCAAAATATCAAACTAAAATGTTAAATATCGGAGTACTCAACATATACGTTTCGTGTTCTTCGTGGCAGTGAATGGTCAAGCTTCGATAAATTCGCCCGCGTGTTTCTACCAAAAATCAACCAGTACAATCTCGCAGCGACCTTCTGTCAGAAATAAACAAAATTTCATTTGAATAATACGTAACGTTTATTGGATCGAATAGTTCAATCTTCATATGGTCCTTGCGAAATATTTAATTCGATAATTCGAACAACGAACAAAAAAAAAACAGCGTTAACCTTCATTCATCGTCCCAAGTTTTGTTTGGACGCAAACTCTGCCCATCTCAGCTTCAGCAGAGGGCGAGCTCTCGATCTTGAAATAGCGAACGCTTCCTCGTACGTAAACCCTGCTTACCACGGAGAGAGTCGAGTAACCTCGAAGAGTCCAACATCCTCTCGATCGCGACACGATGAATATTCTCGTCGGTCGCGTTGGCTCGAGGTGTTCGTGCTTCCCTGCGACTCGTTCGAACACGAACGCGAACGGTTAAGAATTCTTATCCGTACTCCCGTCAAAGTTCCTTCCTCAACGATTTCGAAGTTCGCGGTCACCAACGCCGAGGAGGATTACTCGAGATCGCTTTGGGTCGTTTAAAATTTAATACGGTTCGATGTGGAAGTCGTTTCGACGGGCAAAAGGAGAAGCAAAACGACTCGGGAGGGAAACCAGTCGATAATTACATGTGTATCGTCGAACGGTTCCCCTCTTGATAAATATTTCATGATAATTCAAATGATAACTCGGGGAAGCCGATCGAGGGCCTTGTTTTATGGCGGACCGTGGCCGGCTGCATTCGTGTTGTTAATTGCTCCTTGTAGGTAAACGGTGTACAACGTGTACGCGAGAACAAAGCCTCCAAAGTCTCTTTTAGCTACAAAGTCAACTCAGGAACTCCACCGTTGTTGGAAACGTTCGTAAACGGAAGACGCTTGAAACGAAGTTAGCCGCTTCGGTCTCAAAACGGAGCTTCGATCCCTGTAATTATACCACACGATAGTAATACTTATAAGGGGACTCGCAATACGATAATCGACAAGGTTAATGGGGATCATTCGCAACAATTATAATTGTGCCAAACGATTACAATAACAAGGACAGTGAGTCGCTGTACCTTGATGTTTCTCATGTAATTCAAATCGCTCAAGGTCTCTTGCAACGACTTCCAACGATCTCGTTAGCAATCTTTTCTTCTCCGTTGATACAACGGAAAGAACCAATCATTCAACGATCGGTGCAAATATTAAATTCAAAGGAAACAGAAAGTTGCGAACTTGGGAACTAGAGCCTCGAACCGGCGGTCGACTTTGAAAGCTTCGTTTCGAGTGCACGAGAAGACGACTCGCGACGTCCTACGATTCAAGCCAACGTTAACAACCGAAGAAACGCATAATACTGAGAAAAAACCGTGAAACTTAACGAAATACCGACAATCTATGTTCTCTAGACGCGTCTTTGGGCCGCAGTTCGCGATACCGAATTTCCTAAGTCGAAACAAGCAATTGTCTAAAAGTCTTTCGTCGACGTTCAGCATCCCCGCGTGCTTCGTATACTCCGAGGTTACGCCTCGCTCCGAACAACGCAGAAGACAGCCCACGATATCGTTCCTTCAGCGTTCTCTCTCATCGAGGACCGATCGGTGCCTCGTTCCATCGTCAAGTCCTTTCGAAGCGAGACCTCGTCGCCAGGATATGTGTGTCGTATCGTATCGCGATCGTGCCGTTAGGTACGGCGTCTTCGTCGTCTCTTCCACTCCCAAAAAGCTGACTATTGCTTTATCCCCTTCCGCGACGATCATCCGCGTTCGTCCGTTTCGCGCCAAATTCCATTCGGCGGATTCGATGATCCCGATCCCCTCGAATCGTTGACGCTGTGTGACCACCAGTGACACGTCATTGCCATCCGCAGACAGACCACCTGGCGGTGATTAGTGATAGAACTCAGGTAGATTGCACAAACGTCGTTGCTGCTGTTGCTGCTGATGCGGTTGCTGGTGATGATGCTGATGAAATAGAGCCTCCCCGGGATGGGTCGGCTGCTGGTGTCACTCGTGGGACTTGCCGCTCAACGGATGGTAGTTTCCACCTGCCGATGCCACCAGGGCCAAAGGTAACGGCGAGCCGAGGGGCGCGGGGTGAGAATGGGGGTGGCCCATCCCCGAGGAATGCGTCGTCAATGCAAGAGGACTGCCAGACATCGAACTCGCCAGGGATGCGAACACCGACGGGGCAGGAGACGCCATCGTCGGGCTGCCCATCGCCGCTGTCGGCGGATTGATCCTCTTCTCTTTCTGCCGTCTGCAAGAGGAAAACCGCCTTCGTTAAGTTTTTGGATGAAAACTTGTATCGTTAAATTCGATGCGATTGGAGAGGCGATTTTAGGAGTCCCGCGAGTCTTTGCTTTGTACGTTTCAGAAATGGTTGAGTGAAATATTAAATCATTCCCTAAGTAAAGCTTACGTTTATTTTAATTATAGACGTATGAACGATCCCATTTCTGTAACCTTCTTTGAGTTGATAGACTCATCTAGTGATGATTTTACGTGTTCAATAATGTTGAATTTTGTCTAGTTGGAAAATATTGTAGTGGTCAAAATAGATGGTAATCACTTGGTGCTAGGTCCAAAATGTATGGTTGTGTGATAAAAAATTCTATTTATATATTTTTTTGTATTGTTATCCTTGTTATGTGTAGTTTAAAAATAGATGTCTTTTTACGTAAGAGACGTCATAGACAACCCAGTTCTAATAGATAAGGTTAGATTATTCGAGACATGCGAGCAAGAATTATGGAACGTTTTCCATGCAATGTAACGGTTACCTTCGCTCACTCAAATTCCATCTTTTACGATTCATTCATTTCGTTTTTCAAGAAGATTCAAAGACTCGCGGAGCAACCCAATGCTTCCCAGCTTTGCTGTTCGACAAAGCCGAAGAAGCCAAGAGGAGGGAGCACAAGTGCGGAGATTTGAAGCTCACCTATTGCAAAACCACACCCGAACGACTTCCTTCTCCATCGCCAGGCTGTCGGCCAATATGGTGATTTCCTCCGAGGTGGGTTTCGGGTTTTGCACGAACGCCTTTTCCAGCGCCACTCTGACGCTGGTCTCTATCGAGGTCCTCTTCTTCCGCCGCCTGCCGATGGCTTCCGGCGTGGTGAGTGGGTTTGAAAGGGAATTCGGGTTATTCAGGGAATTATCGGCGTCCTCCAGCCATTTCTGCAGAAGGGGCTTCAGTTTGCACATGTTCTTGAAGGAAAGGTTCAGCGCCTCGAACCTGCGGAATAAAAAAGAGGCATTGAAAACGATGAACTTTAAACTGCGTCGCTTCTAGACGTAGAAACTAACCAACAGGGTCGAATTGCAATTTTTTAGGCTGCTAAGATACTGAGAGTATAACGAGACATACAGTCCGCTAACTATTCGTATCCTCGAGCTATATTGTACACATTTGTCTAAATTAAATGGTAAGCTTAATATTTCCAAATAAATGTTTCGTTATGAATATGTACATGAATAAACTTTACGCGTGTATATACTTATAATGACAAATTGATACGGAAACATCGAACCTATCATTTAATTTGAACAAACTTTTTTAATAAACATAGAGGATACGAATACTTATGGGACTGACTGTTCACACTATGCCTCTCTTTTTACTATTAGGTTGTCTGGAAAGTTCATGCCGATTTTTTAGGGGTGGTACAGGTCTGAATATATCGGAAAGGTTGAAAATAAATAACATGTACACATCCCTTCATTAAATTTACCAGATAAACACACGTAAAATTAAAATTTTCAACGTTTCAATACAAAAACATACATTAAGAAAATTCTTTCTCATTTTTCAATTTATCAAACTCAACACAACTAAACTCACATTTATAGTAAAGATGACTCTAAACTTTGACTCTAAAACAAAGGGTCGAAACGTAGAAATAAAATAAATAAAGTATGTGTATTCATCGTTCTTAAACTTGTACACATACCTGTCTACGAAAGTAATTCTGGAGACCCTTCATCTTCAACAGACTTTAAATAACAATTCGACTCTGCCCGATAGTTCCAAGTGGCCAAGTAGCTTACCTGGAGATCGTCGTCTGGGAGAAGTCGTTGCCGTAGAGTTTCCCCATGGCGAGGCCAACGTCGCCTTGAGTGAATCCAAGCTTGATCCGCCTCTGCTTGAAGGTCTTGGCGAACTGCTCGAGTTCCTCGAGGTCCGTCGTCTCTTCTGGCGAAGGTTCCAGTCTGGTGGGCGGTTGTTTCACTGCTGGCGGCGTGCCAGGAGGCGGTGGCGACCTTTGTTGCGCTAAACTTCGACCGACGAGACCTCCACCGCCCTGAAGAGCCTGCTGCTTCTGCAGGGCTTGCAATTGCTGAGCTGCCTGTGCCACTGCTTGCACCTGATAACAGAGAAAACTCCGTGTCATCCTCGTCGAGCGTTCTCTCGTTTTATGATCAACTGTTGCTTGGAAACGTCTGAGATCCAAGATCTTTAGACGGAAAGAAAACATTTCGTTTCGCCTCAGACGTAACGCAAGCGAAGGATGAACAATCCCTATCGTAGGACAGTACCTGCATGGACTGTGAGCGCGGATGACTGGGTCTTGAGGCGTAGCCACCGCTCTGCAACAGCCCCTGCAAGACGTTCACGACCATTGATACGTTGACAACGGTCTCGTTCATTTTTTACAACGCTACAGGTCATACTTTTCGAGGTTTCTCACGTTTCGCCAGCTCTGCAGCTTCGAAGGATATGGTCTGCTCGCAAGGATGGAGCATCACGTATTTTCAAACACTTGTAAACTAATGGCAAGTAAGGTAATGCGGTTAAACAATTTTGGTTTATAGAAAACGCTTATAGAGAGCGCTTCGGAGGAGTCTAAGGATTAAGATCGAAGCGCGTTCTCGGGTTTATTTCAAGTCTGCAGCACTGGCGAATAGTCTAAAACAAAAGGACACGGTTGACATGTGGAATCCTCGAATAGTAACAACCGCAAGAACCTGGACCATGCAGTATCGAAGATCTCAAGACTTATTGTAATGCACAAGTGATATAATTTCGATGTTAAGTTTATCTCAAGATCTGCCACGGTGTATCGAACTTGATGATTTCAAAGGGTGATATAACGGGAGAATTGAGAGATTTTCATTGGAGGCATCGAAGAGTGACACGTGTTGCGCCCGTGGACAGGTATGGAATTGCTCGAGGGGCGCCCCGACCGATCGATTATCTTCACCCTTTTCTTAACCAGATGCTCGATTAGGAGAATAAGGGGCTCGTGCAAAACGCTCGGTGCCCGCAGAGGAAAAGGGTTTTCGGGACGGGTCGCGTGTCGTTCTCGGGCCACGAGAACTTATTTACGTTTATTGTTGCCCGCGAAGACACCCTGCGCGTGGCTGTTTTGAATACGGCCACGTGCCGGAGCAGGTTGCGAAGAATTATGGATCACCTGTGCACCCTTTCCTATTCAAACGATCTACAGCAAAGAAATCTATTTCAATGTTCCCTACGATGCTTGTTTTCAAACCTAGACATAGTTTACGCAAATGTAATGTTAATTGCAGTAGTCTAAGTGGTGTAATGTAAGTTGTGTCAATTAAATTTAAAGTAATGATAAATTAAGGAAGAGATGTTTGTGTTATACAGTCAGTCCCATAAGTATATCCTCTATATCTATTGAAGAAATTTGTTTAATTTAAATGATAGTCTTCATGTTTCCAAATCAATTTTCCATTATAAATATGTACATGAATAAACTTCACACATGTATATATTTACAATTACAAATTTATTTAGAAACATGAAGCATTCATTTAAATTAAACAAACTTCAATAATTATAGAGAATACGAATACTTATGGGACTGACTGTAAACGTTTTTATCTTTAGAAATTGTTGCAATTTACCATCTCTCCATACCTGAAGAGGTCTCAACCTCTACCGAAAAAATTATCATTATTCTCACAATTTTTAATACAAATCACCGACTCTAATATTCCTTATATTTACCTAATTCACGAAAACTGTAATTTCATAGCGATTGAAAGGTTAACGATTCGACAGTCCTCTAACCTTGAACCAACTCACTCTGGACATTCATATCTAATACTCAATCCCTAGTAACGCAAACTGATCGAACAATTTAAAATCGAAGCTAAAAGAATAAAATATTTCAGGTGTCCTACAACGAAACCCCTTGAAAGGTACAAAGCCATTTTATTACGAAAGCACCCCTTTACCGCAAGGTCCTTTGAAGTTGAGACGTCACCGTCGCGTGACGAAATTAAATATCTGTTATGCAAGCCTCGGAAACTCTTATGTCACGCGTGTAACGTTTTGAAAAGGGTTCGTGGGGGCAGGTTGCGACTCACTCGAGAAAGGGTTGCGCGACGCAGAGGTCGTGTGCCCTAATCCTCGATGGAGCGTTCTGAAAAGAACCAAGAGGGTGTTTCCCGGAGGAAAAGCTGAAGAAACCGAGAACAGGGGGAGGGTATCGAGGGTAGAGATACACGAAGGTAAGAAAGAAACAGCCCAGGCCACGTGTGAGGGAACAAAAGGTGCCCCCGTGGCAAGGTGCCTGAAGGATCCCTTCTCGTTGCACCTTTCAAACGACACACGGAGAACCCCAGCTTCGATGCTCGCAGATACGTGCGTACAGTTGGACACGAGAGCCGCCATTAAATCTGCTCAAGTTCGAAGTCGTTTTGTTAGTTTTTCCAGAAGGTTGAGACGGCGAATGCACACGCTCCTCGCGATGGAATCTATAGAAACTTTTTGGTAAACGCGCAGACCTGGGGCCCATTCAGCAGCCCGCTGGTATGGTGAAAGCTTGGAGGAAGGGACGGGGGGTGGAGGCTGGAATCGTATCCAGGAAGGAGGATCGTTTTTCATCCCCGGATATATCGTGAATCGAATTTTCCCCGTTTCGATCCGCTGGATCACGTGGAAACACGAAACGATTTGGAAGATCGTGCAAGCCTATTTGCGTGATGAACGATGGATACCTGCGTTCTGGAGATCTATTAGGATCCACAGAGGTGATGATTTAATGTAGGATCAGTCGTACACGGTGCAACGATAGTGTTGTGCTGATAGACAATAGTTCCTTGTAATTTGGAATTGTAGCTGGAAGTAACGAATGGGCTCGATGCCAGCACGAGCTAGTTAAGACTTCCCTCGTAAGTCTAAAGCATTTTGTGTACATATACCGCTAGAGAATCGCTGATGTTGGTTTTTGTTAGAGTTGTTAACAATAGGACGTAGCGCTTAGTTAAGAAGTTATGATCTATTCGATTTTAACTTCTAAGGTACTTCTAGAGGTGTACTTCTAGGTGTGAGTCGAGATGTATTGCCAGTCAATACTTTTACAATTGTTGCACTTAACCTTTTTGGTATTTCTATTGTGGAATAATTTCTCAACAGTCCTCTCAACAATAATTGTGGTCTGTCCATTTTACAATTGTAGGGTGGACGTACCAAAGGGATTGGATATCTAAACTAGCAAGATAAGGATTTTTTAACCCATTCGCTGCCATGCAAATTTAAAGCGCCCTAGGCCCTAAGATTTAATACAGATGATATTAAATTTGTCGTTTTAAAAAGAAAATTTACGATCTTCTTTTGCAATAATTCCTGAGGTTATAAACTTATCTCTTGAGTAATTGCAATCAATTTTAACTACGAGACAACTTATAGTTGGCAATGAATGGGTTAACAATTTTGAGACACCCAACACAAACATATCACAAGGAAACAAATAACACTGCTCTTTTCTATAATTCTTCGACCATGACACCTACAATTATGAATGTCCTACCTACTCTGTTCACTCGTTTAACAAACACTCCGATCAGTAGTTTGTACAAAGGAATATAATTTATACAAAGAAATCCTCTGATCCCTAGACCTCTGTAAATTATACCGTTGTAATTCTCTGAGATCTACAACTCAAAATACTATTTGAAACCCCAATGGACAGCAACGTTATTCGGAAAACAGCCAATGTCCGCCCTTATCGACTGTTTCGCGCGCAGCACGTCCTCCGAAGACACGTCAGCTAGAGAAAACGCGAGAACAAGTAGAAACTCCTGTCCCCTTTGTGACATCGTCCTGGCAGTTATCTGGTCGTCAAATCGAGCGAGCCGTCTCCGAAGAATAAGATGTCTGCTTCTTTTGGGCGGCCGATCAGATACCGGGAGGAACGTCGTCTTTGGATTCTCGCTGATCCAACCCATCCCACCTCGTCGCGACTCGAATCGAATTCGTATCGAGTAGGTAATTCGGTGGAGTACCCGAACGCTGGGAGAACAATGGCAGGAATTCGAGTGCACGGGGAGCGTTTGTTGAGAATAATTCCTTTTCCAGCGATACGGAACACGTCAGAGTCTTTTGTGTCTTACGCGAAAGAGAAGATTCCGTCGCTGGGTATTCCATTCGAACGACACTCGAGGACTTCTCAGTTTAATGCTATTTCTGGCAAGTGTGACTCGATCCTCGATTGGAATGAAATAGACGTTCGTTCGGAAACCGAAGTAGTGGGATCATGTCGAGTGCTTCTAAAGAACGCAATCGCTTGAAGCACGTCTTGTTAATAAAATCAATCTATTTGTTATGATTGGAAGTACCAGTACCAACGTAAGTGGCGCAAGAAAATATACTGATTTTTCGACAATTACATGCTAAACTCAGATGAATTCTCACAAAGTTTCATTTTGAAAATGGATTAATGTATTAGCAGGGTGCACAACATTACTTGTTCGTTTTAAAACAGGAACTTGAATGAAAGATTTTTTTCCCAGAGATGTATTAATTCATTGTGAGACCAGACACTTGAGACTCAACCCATTTACTAAATAAATAACAGTAATTTGATCGTTCGCTATCCAGAAGGAACAATGCATTACATCAGAGATCACTGCTTCTTAAATGAACAAATAAAAAAATAAAAAAGAATCATACTATTAAGAACGACTATATTTAATATTCAAGTCCACATCTTTGCATCAATTCAACCAATCGAAACACCACTTCAGAATCTCAAACAACACCCTACCAATTCGAAATCATTTTAACAAGACCTCCATCTCTTCCTAAGAGAAGAAGAATAAGACTTCTTTCTCCAGAAGAGTTTTCAACCCAACAGAACCTTCTTTTCAAACTAGCCTAGAGTACTGAAACGATAAAAAATGTTTCACGAACCTGATTCTGCAGGAAGAACTGCGCCTGACCTGCCGCGGCGGGATTGGCCTGCTGAAACATGGCCAACTGCTGCAAGTGTTGCTGCAGCGATTGTTGCTGCGGCTGGAGCATCGAGGCCAGAGCTTGGATCTCTTGGGGCCCCAGAGCGCCCAACGAGCCGTGCATCAGCAACTGCTGGCCAACCAGTTGTGCAGCCAACGCCGCTTGCGAGCTGTTGCTGTTCTGCTGGCTGGCCGTGTGTTGCTGTTGCTGGTGACTACCTGTTATTTGGCTGCTCACCCCGGAACTGGGCGACGAGGCGCTGCCGCTGGTACCGCTGCTGCTGTTGCGATGCGACACGTCTGTGACCTGTGGAGCAGATTTAACTGTGTTGGTCCATGTTTGAGTTGATTCGGAGACTGGAAAAATTACTGACACGGTTCACTGGGAATGTTTGTAAAGGGGTTTGCTAAAGGGGATGCAGGATTTTGTTTTTTCTTTGAATGTAAATTTTGTGGAATGTACTTAATAAACTAATGTAATAAATACATGCTAAGCATAACCAAAAGGTGTGTATCTAAAACGAAATAACAATATTATTACATTAATTGTAGAATATATTCAACATAGATTATGTATGCGAACCGTTCACTGCACAAATCGATTACCTCCACCAGTCACATAAAAATTGTAACATTACTGAGGATTATTTCTTCGCTATCTTTCTTATTAATTTTATATACCGTTACATGAAAACTACATCTGTATTTATACATTCTACAATATTTATTTGAATTTATATTATAAAGGGAATTTTAAAAAAGAATGTACCGCATTTCGTCGCTTTTCTTTACTATTTGTTTTATGAAGTTAATTGATTTCTGCCATGAACGGCTCATATATTACATATTTTTCGTATGTTTCCTACATTTCTACATAAATACATACATTTCGTAATCTAGTTATATAGTAATTTATATTTGTATTAATATGTCAACCACAACTACACGACCCCTTGAAAAATCCTTTTTAATACAAATTTGAATCAGTAGCAGTTGAAGTGTGAAGACTCAAACTAAGTACTTTTCCTCATTAGCGAATGTCTTAACTAATGACCTTATAATTAATTTTACAGTTTCATCAAGTTGTTCTCTTCGTCTATGTACTAATGGATTAATATTGTGTGCTTTTTAGTGTCGCTGATGTAAGTTTAGCAGACTTTTCCAGATGTACTCTCGACGATTACATCCATTCGCGGGGATTTAGGAAAAAAAATCAATTTCCATAGAATCTGGGATACAAGCGTCACGCTATAACGTGGGACCAGGAACACGAAGAATCGAAGGAACTACGCGAGGGCCACCCTCCCTAATATTACAGAGTAAACGGCGCCGAACAAAGCCGTGTTTACACTCGGCCAGGTCAGGATATTGGTCACTACGGTCCATCCTATGCTTTTGTGTTTTATAAAATCCCCACACCCCTCCCCCGTCTCTTCCTGTCGTTCATCTCACTAGTGGCTTCCTTTATTTATTTGCCAAATATTGAACAGCAGTGCTTTTCCTGTGCTCCGAGAGCAAATGTAAAAAAAACTGAATCCTCATACGGAAATTGGGGTAAAAATTCCACCGGAAGTTGGCTCGAACATTACCTGAGACATGCTTGTCGAATAAAAGATGGAGGCAATCGTACGAAGGACTTGTTTCGTGGATATACGATAAATAAATTAAAAATGATAATATTATTGTAGGTAACACCAATATATGCCTCACTTGGTAGTTTCAAAGATGTTTTTACGTGTCTACACCAGGAAAGATAGTAATGTAGATCATATGACCTATGATTACATCAGTGTTTTTCAAACTGTGACGCACAGACACTAAGGGATGTATACGCAATACTATTATGATGATTTACGCGTATTTTTTGCTTAACACAAATTTATTTAGAATTCTTGTATTCCTGAAAGATAAGTTACATTCACATATTATAGAGAGTAGATCCGAATAAAAATCAATGATTTTATAAATCTATAAAAATAAATCTAAAAATCTAAAATAGGAAACAAGGAAATTCTTCTACGCAATAGTAATAAAATTTGAAGGAACTTCCATTTAAACTCGAGGCAATTACACAAGAAATAATTCGTCAGGGGTCGGTATAAAATTCCACTAACCAGATTGAGGGCTTCCCTGTCCGAGTCCATGGAGTCATGGTCAAGGTTCGCTTCGGTGGCATCGTGGATGTCACTGGCGATGCTTCTGTCATCCCCGCTGAGTTCTGGCCCGTCCACCTCGCCATGGAGATCCGCGTCTGCAAAAATCAAAATCACGAAACGACTCAATCACAGTTTCCTAAAAATCCCAATCGCGAGACTCGAAATTTGAAAGCCTCGAAGGATAAATAGTTCGATAATGGAAATTGTGCTAGAGCTCGTACAGTCATTGTTATTCTGAGGCCTGTATTTCTGATGGTGGTGGTAACGCGTGGGGGTGGAAGTAGGCGTGCTGGTCGCATGGAGTCGCATATCCGCAAAAATCATCCTCGGGTCCTCGAGGAAGACCATCTTAGCCTCGTTCGTTCGCGAGGATCCCCGTGGCCCGTCGCTCGTGGTCACATCGGGGTGGTTTCCAAGGTCCAGCACGGCGGTCAGGAACCGATAGAAACTACCCTCGAGGATCGACGAACTTCCGGAGGCCCCTCGAGCTCTCGTCTCGCATCGCGAGGGAACGAGCACGGGCACTGTTCGCAGTTTTACTTTCGTTTCGAAAGACGCGGATGAATCCAATGAAAGAAAAGAAACAACGATGAAAAGATCAATTTACTCTACGTGGAACACGTGGGCGTATTCTCAATCGTCCAGTCACGAATTTGGTGGAAAGAAATAGATTCTATTTGATAATAGAATGTCGATTTTATCAATGATAAAATGGAGCAAGGAACGCCTACGCATTTCGGCTGATTCTTTTACTCCTCAGAGTGGTTGAGATACAGTATAAAGAATAGAAATTTGTGTAAAAATGAATTCCCTTTTTCTGGATTATATAAGTGTAAATTAGTTCAGTTTCTTTTCGAGAATCGCAACGGATTGTAATGAAATTAAAGAAAACTTGATAAAGAGATTGATAAATTGGAACTATATTTAAGGATGCCAATGTTGTTCATTTAGTCTCTAGAATCGTGAATGAATCCAACAAGAAACAGAAATCAATATCAATGATGGATGCGATAAAAGAACAGATATAAATCAATATAAATCGATCCAAGAAATAATTCACTTTCTGTAGAACATGAGTAAGCAGATCTGTTTACTAGCATTTCAAAGATCACGAATACATCGAATAAACTTTACGTAAAACTAATAAAGCCACTTTTCGCAGAACACGCGGAAATGTTCTTACTGTCGATCCGAGAAGCACCGTCGAATCCACGCAAGAGAAAATTTAAAAAAGAAATTAATAAATCCACTCTTTGCAGAACACGAGAACGCAGGTTTCCCTGCTTTCGTTCGGAGGATCCAAATAAAAGAAAGGAAAAATCGACAAAGAGATTAATTCACTGGAGAACACGAGGATGCAAATGTCTAACGCTCATGAATAATTAGAGCCGCGCACTCTCGGAGTCGAATATTCAAAGGGAGTAACTTTCGAGGAAAGAGGCACTCTGGGAGCTCGAGAGGTCGCGCGGAACCAGCGGTCCTCGTCGAAGGACGGATACAGAACGAATGTCAGAATGACGCAACGAAATTGTGCCCCTAAGCACGAGACGGCCCTCCCCACTATCCCGCCGTGGAGAGGAAGGGCCGTGACGATTGGTCGCGGGCACACGAAGTTCGCGCGCTATTGGCCATCGAAGGGAACCCTTTGGCCCTTTGCGTGCGCCCCCCCTCCTCTCTCTCTGGGCCGCGAAACAACCCTTCGTGCATCCATCATCGTATCTTATGACTGGCCTCCCTCGCCACCCTTTCCTTCGTCTTTCGCCGATGCTGTTCCGTACCCCCTCCGCCCTAAAAAGGGGTACGGATAATGGCACGGAACCGATTCGTTGGGTTCGAGAAAACGAGCTTACGCGTCGCTGTTACGCCATTCGAGCCACAACGGTTTTTAATAATAATTACTTCGATACGCCTGGGCGGGATAGCCCTTTTTGGATCGGGGGATTTGCGGAATGGCGGCTGCTGTACCAAACTTTTACGAATGAAACTTCTCGACGTTGGTATAGGAGCGAGGTTTCTAGATTTTTTATTTTGGATGGGATGATCGTACCGGCTGGTTCTGTCGTTGGATTACTGCGCTTTTAATAAAAATAATATTTGAAATGTTATAAGGACTTGAATGATGTGATGGTAGACAATGATTCCTCCTGGTAAATCGAAAGGGGTTGTTTTTGGGTAAATAAATGCTTTCAATGTGGTTACGATTATCTTTTGATTAAAGCTATATGGTATCTAGACAAAATTATATACTAAAATTGTATACAAATTCTAAATTGAAACCTTATGGTTCATACAATACGATAATTAAATCAGAAATGGAATTAATATAATATGGAGCAGCACAGAATATTATAAACGTGACTATTAGATACCATAAACGTTATAATATAAACGCGAGGAAAGAACAGGATAATATACAAATATATATTATGACTACAAGCTTGGAATTGTTTTATTCTATTACATTAATAACCAAATACTAATAAGTATTCATAGCATCATTCTTCTTCATTAAATTTTCTTATATTCGGATTCTATTGCATTTAATTATTCTTCTCAATATTTTAACAAATGACCTAAGATCTCCTCGCAATTTTCGCACCTAAAGTGTGAAGTACCAAACCGCGGAGGGCGCGAGAATGGGTAAGGGTCAGCGACCTACGTCGAGGAAAAAAGGAAGTTCCTCGGCCACTCGGACTCGAACTTTCCCATCGAGACGCGGCAAACGGGACAAAAGCGTTGAACGAAGATAAACGCTCGCGAAACGCTCGTAAAAAGGCCGTGTCGCAGGTGAGGTTACTGTGGGACTGATCGTAGGGACCGAAAAAAAATTTCAAAATCCTGTGAATCCTGTGAATTCGACGCAACGTTCTCCCAGCATGCCCCGATTTTCGCTCCTCCGCATCTGTGCCTCCCCTTCGTACCTGACGTGGATTCCCCCGAAAACGCCGGAAAAAAAAGCGTAGAAAGAGACGCGACAGGTCAGGTAGAACAGCCTCAGGACAACGACGGGGCAGCATCGGTATTGGTGGATTCCCTATAAAATTTCAGTTGCGCCATCGCGTCGTTCGCTGCACGATTACACCCTGTGTGTGCCTTCCACCCCTCGTACGCGGCTAAAAAGCAGGTACCCGCGCACTCACACACGACGGTTTCCCTTTTTGCCCCTGAATTTGCATCGTCGTTCCCCTCTTTCCATCGAAAATTACGCTTTTTTCAGCCGTGAGAAGCTCCTGGGTCGCCTCTGCCACAGAAGAAACCCTCGAGGGAGGGGAGAAAGGATTTTTGGGGCGAATTCCGTCGGTTCCTGTTTTTCCACCCTTTTCGCCGGGCGCACTCACACGCGAAACACTCGCGTTCGACGAAGAAATAACGTTTATCGTCGCAAACCGCCAGGTGCGAGCACCTCGACCAACGACCTAACTTAGATAAGGCCAACGTCAACCGTTTTTTCGCTCGTTTTCCTCCCAGCTATCGCGACCCGCGCGATTGGTGCGTTCACGTCTCGGGTCGGGAGAGATTTTCCTGGTGTGGCTCGTCGGTTTGAAAAAAAAAGTGCAACGGACGTCTGGTGACGCTTCCGATGGAACGAAGATGAAACTCTCCAGACGAGGAGGGATGATACCGCCGGATGAAACGTTTAGATCAACGGTTTTTTAACGGACTTTGGCGGAAAGAATGTTCGCGAACGGAGGTCGGGTACGTGTTGTATCGCGGGGAACGGTTTGCAACTTTGTGGCTTCGTTTTTCAAATTTTACGGAGGTTTATATTCGATAGGCAGGAGTTTTCTGGTATTTTTATAATGTATGTGTACAATTTTAATGTATATGTTAATGTGTACATAGGTAAAATTGTGTATAAGTTCAGGTAATCACGTGTCTATTAGTAGGTACACGAATTTGTTCAAGAGTAATGTCCGTTCGATGAATTTAAATCATCTCAAAGGTGATTTTGCTCTGAGCAAGTAAAAATCTAAACAACCAACACAAACACACAATTTTCCATCTGTATTCTCAAGTCTTGCACTTTCTGACTCGTGATACCTCGTAACATTAATAGATACAAAAGACCATTGAAGAAAGTCAGATTTTGCCCATTTGCAACACTTCTGCTTGCTTTCGAGCCCCAAGAATTATGTTTTGTTAATATTTAATAATAAGTCGATCCCCACGGATCAGAAGACGAGAAATCAAAACTAATTCATCAGCCTGTCGGCGTCGAGGACAATTAAATCATCTCCCATTCGATCCAGCTGCAAAACAGGCCAGGATCCCGGTCATCCGGAACAAGATCGTATCTCACGGCGCATCTTCGTCGTCTCTTTGTCCCGCATCTGCATACACCGACGCGGCTAGGTGCCATTATAAATGGTCCGCGCACAATGACGCTGCCCATGCAATTTCCAACCATTCAAGCCCCGTTTAACGTTTGCACGAGTGACACGGTAACCGTCTATCCATCACCCACCCACATTTCCACGCTGATCGGCCCTGCACACGCACACGCAACAGGGACCATTCTGCGACACGAAGGCCCTTGCAGCTGGACGTTGCAATCTCTCCTCTTCGTCCGCGACACTTCGTAACCGTTCTCTCTCGCTCTTCTTTCGCAGGTCGAGGGAAAACTGGGCGATGACCTGACCTTCCCAAAGGCCAGCCCCAGAATCCGAGGAAACGTCGTGCGTGTCACGTACGTATGTCAGGTGATAAAACGGGACAACGGGACACCTGAGCTGGCCACCGCGACGTTTGGTCTTTTGGGGACGACGAACCTCGGGGACTTGGTCCACGAACGGAGGGTTGAATTTGTGGGGCTCTTACAGCTACTCGTGGTTTGAGATAGTTCTAGTCTTCGAGTTACTTGGTACTCTTCTTTGAGGATCGTGGACTTGTTCTATATTAGTTTCTGCAACTTTTGGAAATGAAATTGGTAGGCTCCGTGGAGCAAAGGGTAGGGGAACTTGACGGTATAAAGGGTGGCTCGAGATGGTTGAGTTGAGATGCTTGAATGAGATTCGTAGAAAATTTACTTGTTTTCTTAATGGATGTTGAAGGTTCGACTGTATAGTGGTTTCCTTCAGATACCAAGAATTACTTC